CGTGTGTGCGTGGAGAAGGCCTGTGTGGCAGCCTGTGCGTGTGTGGGCAAGCCCCGTGTGGTGATCTCTGAGGGTGCGTGTGTCGGGGGGGGCGGCCTATGTGGAGCTGTGTGTGGGGTACTGTGTGGTGGTCGGTGTGTACGTTATGTCTATTAAGTCCCATGTTGTGGCGGGGGGTGGGGTGTATGTGTGGTGTATCTTATGTGGTGGTCTATGTGTGTGTGTGGGGGGTCCAGTGCGGTGGTCCGTGTCTGCAGATAGTGTGCCTGGGGTCCTGTGTGGTGGTGGTGAGGTGTGTGCATTTGCAGCTGCATCCTGTATTTGTCAGTGTGTGTGTGGAAGGAGGGTTCTCTGTAGCAGTCTATGTTTGTATTTGTGGGGAATGGATGGGTAAGGTAGTGGTGGCAGACTGTGTGTAGAGGGGTGTATGCGTGGGGAGCAAATCTTAGACTGCTGGAGGGCTGCTGTAACATCACCCTATCCTCACGGTGCCCTTTTTTCTCCAGGAGCTGTGTGAGACGCCATGGCGCAAGCACTTGCCTCCCCAGGGCTGTTCTCTGATGATGATGTTGCAGTCTCCCCTGTTCTTGAATCCACAGCAACAGGGTTTGTGGCTGATGTGCGCAAAGACCTGCTGCCGGAGCTCTCTGCCATCTCTCCAAATCTAGAGGTCTCCCAGCAGGTGAGGTTGGAGCTCTTCTGTCACAAACAGGGTAGTCTTTTGACTTGTGGCTGCTGTGGCTCTGTAGAAAGGCGTTGTGACACAGGGCCAACAGAGACTCTTCAGAAGAGGCTAGAATAAAATGTTGCATTGAGGGGAGCAGTTCCTGTTATGAGCAGTGTACTATGAAGGGCATAGTCAGTAAGTGCCTCTTAACACGATGCCTCTTAGTGTGGCACTTGGTCTGGGGGCTGATTTCGGTGTCAGGTCTTTGGGTTGTTGGCCTGATTCACTAGATAAACAAAAGAAATGCTGGTGTACCTGGAAATGCCTAACAAAGGTTCCAGCATTGCTAGGGATTTTGGGACCAGAGAAGCGTCCATTAGTTGCTGAGCATTAGTTAGGGTAGCATGTGTTCCACGCTGTGGTTCCTGTTAGTGTTCTGATGGATGGTTGCGTACTGCTTCTCTGGCTACCATGTTTAACCTGTACTGATTTCTGCAGACTGTAGCTGAAGACAATAATGGAAAATTAAAGGTCTATCTGAGAGTTCGACCTCTGAAATCTACAGAAGTGGAAAAAGGGGAAGACCAGGTGAGTTGCTGAATGAAGCAGTCTCTGAGCTGGTTGCCTGTGTACCTGCTGGGAGATGCTGTTATCCTTTCCTGTCTATGCTATGGCCCCTTGTAAGCCATTGCAGTCATGGGGTTTTATGTGTTCTTTAGGGCTGTGTTTGCATTGAGAATTCAGAGACACTTCTTCTCAAAGCCCCTAAGGCCTCCTTCACCATGCGGAGCACAGAACGTGGAGTGGGACAAGCAGTACACAGATTTTCTTTCACCCAGGTAGGTAACTGGGATAAACAATCCATCTGGAGGCTTTTTGAGCTTAAACCAGCCTTACAGCTTGAAAAGCTGACTTACTAATACACACTGATTCCAGTGCCCTGTGTGAACTATGTAGTCCTGTACAATCCTTTCTACTTAAGTCTTGCTGTTGCTGTTTCCTTAGTTTTTCTCTTTTTAAGCTGATCCTGACAACTTTTTGGCAGCAAATGCCAAACTCTTGTTTTGTTCATGAGGCTCTAGACACACTAGAGGCTGTAGTGGTATCAGATGTTACTGGATTAAGCAAGTGAACAGCTTGTTTTTGTAGGGGGCTTGGACCGGAATTACTGGTGGGTCTGCTGCTCGTGATGTGGGGCTAGTAGAGGGAACAAAGGACTATGTAATATTGCTTGAACAACCATCAGTAGTCAAAATATAAGAAAGATTTACATGAGGCCATTTTTCATGTGTCTTTTTTGCAGATCTTTGGACCAGATGTGGGGCAGAAATTGTTCTTTGACGAGACTATGAAGCAGGTGGTAAAGGAGGTACTGAATGGGCAGAACTGGCTCGTTTACACCTATGGCATCACCAATTCAGGGAAGACTCACACTATTCAGGGTAAGGAAAGCACTAGGTGTTAGTAGCCTGTCGAGGGAGTTGTCTGCTTCTATATGTGAATCCTCAGCTTGCTGCTGCTGTTCTTGCTTCAGGCAGCAACAAAGATGGGGGGATACTGCCTCGCTCCTTAGCAGTCATCTTCAACAGCGTGGGGGACCGGCTGTACCAAGGCATGGATCTGAAGCCTTCCCTCTCCAATGAGGTGATCTGGCTGGACAGCAGGCAGGTGCGACAGGAAGAGACCAAGAAGCAGACCATACTGCGGGAAGTAAGCACGTGGCTTCAGGGAGGTTTAACAATAATAGGGGAAGGACGGTGTCATGCTACATACACACTCATGTTCTTTGTTTCCTTTCAGGAGGAGCTGTTAACGCCACTGAAGAGAAGTCATAGTGCCGAATCTCAGCTCCAGGCCGCTACTAGTGGCAGTTTCGACAGTGGAGTTGCAGGCCTCTCTTCATCTAGCCAACTTGCCAACCATTCAGACATCAGCCAGACAGAAGGTATGTCTGGAAACCTGTTGTGTACTACCTGTTGCTTGTTGTTGGAGGATGGGGGAAGAAAGGGTGATAGCTATTTGGGTACTGTGTTGTGGGTAAGGGAGCAAAGGTGCTATAGTCTCACAATTTTCCCTTTGAAAGACAAGGATGCCAGGGCTGAAGAACTTTGTTACGTATGTCTTGCCAACATATGAGAACTCAGCACTGCATAATAACTCAAGCCTTGTGAAATGAAAAGTTACTTGACACCCACTTACTTCATTCAAGGGATGTGGTTGTTGAGCAGCCGAATGCCATGTGATGGGGATAGCTGGAAAGCAGGGTGCTAAAGTGACACGTTGCACTGAGCACTTGCGCCCAGACTTTCAAACCTAGGAACTACTAGCTGATTAGGTATCCAGAAGCAAGGAGGGATAGAGGTAACAGTGGTTAAAACTTCACTTACACTGGGAAGAGTTTGTGTTTGAAATATTCTATAGTTCTGGAGTCAAGATCAAGTGTATAAAAAATCCTTACACAGAAAGGAGGATACCGTTAACAGGAATGTTAGGCTGTCTCACTGAGGACAGACATTAGTGTAGGTCCAAATGGGAGGAGGAATATAGAATAGATTTGAGTTCGGGATTTTTTGGAAAGATACCTCAGTCTCTAGCTAAACCATTCAGGTTGGACCTGTGAAAAGTTGCAAGCCTGATTCTTTTTTTTTTTTCACTTTTAAAATTTTCCTTCTTTATCTTTTTCCTCAGAACTGGGCCCTTGCTGGGCTGACTTGGATCGTATTTCACTCACCAACACAGGAGATGTGCAGTTCTCCATTTGGGTCTCCTTCTTTGAGATTTACAATGAGTTAATCTATGACTTGTTAGAACCAGCTTTACCTGGCCAGAACCGCAAGAGGCAGACACTGCGGCTGTGTGAAGACCAGACTGGCAACCCCTATGTGAAAGGTAGATTTAACTGAGATATTTTTAGTGGCCTGCTAGGGAGACTTGAGGACTGAGTGGGTGGGTGGCTTAGTGTTGATGTGCTGGGGAGCATGATGTCCTCTATGGCCCCTCGGAGGTCTCTGATGTCTGGATTACAGGAAAGTTAAGTTTGTTAATGTCAAGCGAATGCAACGGTGAAGTTGCAGCTAAGATAATTAAGTTTTCTGCTAGTCTCCTAACTGTCTTGCCCAATGCGTGCCTCCTTTTCCAGATCTGAACTGGATCAATGTCCGGGATGCTGATGAGGCCTGGAAGCTCCTGAAACTGGGTCGGAAAAACCAGAGTTTTGCTAGCACTCACATGAACCAGAACTCCAGTCGCAGGTCTGAAGAGGGAGGGGGGTTGTTTAGGCAGAAATACAATTCTGAGGCTTAAGAAAGATATTTTTAAAATATCTGCATGTTCCTTTACAGTCACAGTATCTTCTCCATTCGGATTCTGCGCTTGCAAAGAGGTGTCCCAAAAATCAGCGAGTAAGTTTCATGCTCTCTAGTATTTGGAGGTGTTCTCTGTGGACTCAACTTTACCGTATCTTTTGTTGTGGATCTGGGGTGTGGGAAAGCATCTTGGGGAAGCTCTTGTTGAAAGTACTTGGAAGGAGTAAATGTTCCCACTCTTAAGTCTTGGAACTGACCAAGGAGTTTGTGAGCAGTACTGCAAAGTACAACGTGAGGTAGTTCTCAGGCTTTTTGGATGAAGGTAAATGTGAGTAACCTCGCCCTTGCAGCAGGGCTGATTTGAGTGCTACCAATGCTGGTTTCTGGGAGGTAGTTGTCTGGAAATGGGCTGTCTCAGTACCTGGGAAGCGGCTGTCCTGAGGACTGGCAAAGGATCTTTGAACCTGACACCACAATGCTCATGTTGGTGCTATTTTGTGTAACCCCCTCCATGTAGGGTAGACCTTTTGTCCAGTGATAGCCTGTACACCCCAAAAGAGCTTCCTGTGCCCTTTATGGGGAAGCTGGGAAGGTGAGCAGGGTAGGTGGTTGCAGGGTGTCTGAATTCTAAACCTGGATAGAACTGGACAAACCCAGTAGGTCAGGTGAATACCGCCTGTGTTTTCTTCAGGTTATCCCTGTGCGACCTTGCGGGGTCAGAGCGCTGCAAAGACCAGAAAAGTGGGGACCGACTGAAAGAAGCAAACAACATCAATACCTCCCTCCACACACTGGGTCGCTGCATTGCTGCCCTCCGCCAGAATCAGCAGTCCAAGTGAGTATCCAGAACTCCAGAGGGAGGGTGTGGGGAGGCTGTTTGGCTTTCCCATGGGCTCACTCTTGTCTCTCCTCACAGACTGAAGCAGACTGTGGTTCCCTTCCGGGACAGCAAGCTGACCCGTGTGTTCCAGGGTTTCTTCACTGGACGTGGGCGCTCTTGCATGATTGTCAACATTAACCAGTGTGCATCTACATATGATGAAACTCTGTATGTAGCCAAGTTCTCAGCCATTGCCAGCCAGGTAAGTAGCACGCATCAGAATCAGGGCATGGTCAGGAGATATCCTGCTTCTGTAGAAATGGGCCCCTTTCCATCACAAGGCAGGGGGAATGCTTGCAACTCTTCCCTATGCTTCTCCAGTCGATTATTACCTTTACAGTATTTCCAGATTCTGCTAAACTGAAAGGGTTGACAGGTTGCAGAGAAGTGCTGTGTTTAAAGACTAAGCAACTTCCAGGCCTTGTGGACTACTGCTGATGGTCTTTTCCCTTCAGCTTTTACAGGCCCCTCCCACAAAGCTGGGACTTCCATCCATACAATCAATCATCAAAGAGCATAACAGGCGAACCAGCCAGGGTCTAGAGGCAGTGGCAAAGGAAGAAGTGGAATCAGAAGAAGACAGTGAGGATGAAACGGATGTCTCCATGTATGAGAAGCAGGTGGGTTGTGATTTGTTTTACAGCCTTTAGGGACAGAGGGGCAAGAACGTGACTGTTAGCTTTGGCCTGGGAGGTGGGGCTGGAGGTCGGCACTATTACAAGAAATGACAGAGAACCTCAGAAGGATATAGGACCCAGGATACTGGGAATCCATAAGGAAAACATTCCACAGTTGGTCTAAATCTGAAGCACATGCCTAATTTGGAAACACTTTGTCATCTGTGGAATAGGGACAGTAAGAGCACCGGTGCAGATCTATAATCCCTACTCTCCACAGGAAATCTAGAGATCAGAAAACATGCAAAACAGATGGCTAAATTGAGGAAAAATAATCAAACTTCCTAGATACTCAAAGTGGGCAGCTGGAATAGCTGAAAGATCAAGATGGAAGTTGTATACCTACAGAGACTTGAGTTTTAATGTGTCAAGGTAGCAAATGCAGGTGCAGCCCTCGGCAGTGCAGCAGGGGAAGCTGCTCTGGAGATAGCAGCGTTGTTTAAGCTGTCTCATGGGATAGGAATTAAGAGCAAACCTGGCAACTTCTCTTTCCAAGTGACTAAAAGAATCTTAAACCTAGATCACCCTAGACTACACATACGGGATCACCTAGTTGGTTCTAGGTCCTAATTCTGTTGTGCAGCATGGACAATGGAGTTTGCGTCCTTCTTGCAGGACTTGTTGCGTGTAGTGGAAGCTGCACGACAACTGCTGGTGCAAGAGCGGCAGGAGAAGCTGCAACTAGAAATGCGCCTCCGTGAGGAGATCTGCAATGAGATGCTGGAGCACATGCAACAGAAGGAGCAATGGTGCAGGTACAGCTTATGCTGATCTCCATTCCTTTGCTCAGGGTGAGCTACAGTACCAAGAACTGCTAGATCCTGACATGTAATTGTTTGCCCTCTTTGTAGCCAACATGTGGATGCTCAGAAGGAGCTGCTGGAGGAACTGTACGAGGATAAACTGAATAACCTGAAGGAGTCACTAACTGACTATTACCAGGAGCAGATCCAGGTCTGTTCAGGGCAATGAAATGACATCGGGAAAGTGGCAGGGGGTTGGGAGGGGACTCTGGGGTACCTGAGTCCAGGTAAGTGACTTATGCAACTGAAAGGAAAGATTTTGCTTTTTGTGGTATTTTTTGTGATATTATTTGATAGCTTGATCCACAATTTTTGCTTCTTGTCTACTGCTTTACGTAGTTCACTAGGCTATTTAATTTTCATTCCTTAACCTGGAAGCTAATGTGCAACCACTCTGACTCTATTTGTTCAATGTGACTCTCTCCCACCTTACTCTTTTTGCTTGGCACTCTTCAGATTAACACAAGTTCTGTGAATTTCTCTTCTTAATCTTAGTTGTGATGATGGATATGGGCCTATCTGTATTTTTCATGTTATGGCATTTGAGTGGCCTCTGGGACTTGTTGCAGACCTCTCTGAAGATGCCAACTCTCAAAAAATTCCATTGTCTTGAGGCTGTAAAAAAATTGGTTTAGGCTCCCAGGAAATGGGTTCACTGTTTTCACTTAAGGGACATTAAAGACTGGGTCTAACGTGTGAAGTGTGTGATTGAGAAAGTCTCCTGGAAGATGTTCAAAGTTTCAGAAAAACTGTGTTAAGAAAATCTTGTTGAATATTTGAACAAACTTGCTTTCTAAGGAGCGTGATGAGAAGATTGAGGAGCTCCAAGCGGCTCTGCAGGAGGCAAAACAAAAAGTGGAGATCCTGGATACTAAGCAAAAGGACTCAGGGCAAGGCTTGCGTCGATCAAAACGCCTTGCTGCCTCATGCGCTCTGCAACAGGAGCTGGTAGATACTAAAGCCAAACTGCAGCAATGTCAAGTGGAGTTAAATATTGCAACAGCAGGTAAGGCAGTGATGCAGCACTGGTCCTGAACTATGCCTGGGCAATCCTTGTAGAGGGTTAGGGATACTTTTTTGGTAAGGCATGTTGGATGTAGACATCTTGAAACCACTATTCTGAGTTGTAGATGATAGGAATAATGTGCTGGATGGACAGAGTTTCACTTCATTTTCACATGAAAATGGACTTTAGGGCAAGATCATATTCCTATCAAAATTCTAAAGTCCCTTTGTGTAACTGAAAGGGAAAAGCTTGGAATGTTGTGCATGTCTGCAAACTCAAAGCTTTTCTCAGCTTGCCTGTGGCAGCCTGTCTCAAGGGATGTCCTGACTTCAGAAAAACCGGAAGCTCACGAATGTACTGTTGCTCACTACTTTTGTCTGTTCCTAGAGTTGCGGAAGTACCAGAAATTACTGGAGCCACCTCCCTCTGCCAAACCCATTACTGTGGATGTAGACAGGAAGCTGGAGGATGGACAGAAGGTAACTCCATCTCTGTGTTACAGAAAGGAACACTCACAGGGTAAAGTGGCTGTCAGTTTAAACAGCATATGGAGCTGCTGTTCACAGGTTTTCAAACAAATGGTTGAAGTTGAAATGGGTCTGTTGAAAAGAAACCCTTACTAGAGATGTGGAAGGCTGTGGTATCTGTGATCCCAGTGCACCTCACTCAGATGGGATGCTCCCTCAGTACTGCATGTCTGAATTACCCTAGAGTGGCTTTGTTTGCAGAGCAATGTCAAAGCTAGGTGTTGTATTAAATCTTTCTCCTGTAGAACGTCAGATTGCTGCGTTCAGAATTACAAAAACTTGGGGAGTCTCTTCAGTCTGCAGAGAGGGCATGCTGCCACAGTACAAGTGCAGGGAAACTTCGAGAAGCCCTCTGTATGTGTGATGACATTCTGGCCAGACAGGTAATGTGTCTGTTTTTTGTGGGTTGCACAGGGGGATTTAGTCTATGCACTTTGCCATAACCAGCAGAATAACCTCTGTTCTTGCAGCTGCAAATAAAAGACTTATTCTCTAGATGCATACTGTCTATCACATTAAGGGAGCTATATCGCTAACTTTTTTTGATGGCTGAGTCAGACTGCATACTTAACTCTCCAAAGGAGACCCAAATTGTTCCTGTTCTGTTAACTGACAGCCTGCACTTAAAAGTAGAATTCAGACTTCTCATTTCCTTATCCACTTTATCACAGTTGCTATGGCAGTATGTTTGCAGCAGGGTGGATTAAGCTTCTTCCAAGCCTTACTGTTCCTATTTTGTTATTGAACTGCTACACTGTTGACAGTGGAAGCTTTTATGCATGGCCTTATTTAGCACACCAGTTAGTGAATTTTGGCAAAGGCAGTTTATCCTGTTCTGTTCATAGTAAGCAGGAAGTTAGACAACTTGTCCTATCTTTATGTATATTGCCTTCCCTTTCTCAGGACCAAACACTGGCAGAACTGCAGAACAACATGATGCTGGTAAAACTAGACCTGCGGAAGAAAGCAGCTTGTATTGCTGAACAGTACCACACTGTGCAGAAGCTCCAGGCTCCTCCAACCTCTACCTTAAAGAAACGCTTCTGTTCCAACAGGGAAAACCTACAACCTAATCAACCTCCTGGTAAAAAACCCTTCCTGCACAACCTTCTGTCACGTTCAGCTCCCCGTCCTGTTGCTGGCAGAGGGTGGCAACTTCGTTCAGTTGCTCTATGACTTTTCATAAAGAGAACCCTGCCCTGCTATTCCTGGAACAGGTGGCAAATCCAATATACTAGCATCTATTTTTCTTTGTATGCTTGTTTATTGTTATAGTAGCTGCTTGAGCTTATGTAAACATTTTTGGATATATATATATATATATAAACTTTTAATCAATACCAAAGTGGACAAAGTGACCTTTTCTAATTCAAACACTACAACAATGAAAGTCTTCAAATATAAAATAATGCCGATCATCAAAGTTGTTTAACAAAAGGACAAGTTGAAAGTGAGTTCTCATCTTCAACTTATGTTGGCACACAAAAAATAAGTTCACAAGATCCTCCTTGAAAGGTATTTTCCTTCCTTGAATTATTATAATCCTTTATTAAAGTATACACGTTCTAGTTCAGAGCTGTTCTCTCGGATCTTGGCTTGCAATTCTGGCTCCAAGCGTGTTACAGACATAGAACTAAGCAAAAGAAACAGTAAAATGGTTATATATAACAAGCACTAGAATGTAAAATATGATGGACAATGCATCTCGTTAAACTTCCTGGATGGTGAAGAGAGTTTTCAGATCTTTTTAACTTCTTACGAAGGAATTATGCTCACAGACCAGGGGCAAATGAATTCCTGTTTAAAAGGCAGTCAGATAGTCTATAGAGTCAAAAAAAGGCTGTTGCTATTGCCATGAGGGTAGGAATCTACTTAGTTGCTTGAGGTGGCTGCTGGCAACAGAAACTTACCTTCCTAAAGGTGTTTTTATCAAATATAATGTATTTGCCTATTTAACTTACTGCCTGATTTTATTCACTTGAATAAAAGGTTTATCTTTATAAGAGTCATCTCACACTAAAGTGAATTAAGCTGCCAGGTCATTTAAACAGCTGAAATTTCTTTAACACAGTTTAAGGTCTAATATTCCTATGAAATGGAGAGCCCTGGTTAAAATCAAGAACTGTGCCACACTTGCTATGCTAGTTTGTCAAGTTATGTCCAGGTAGCCTTGTGCACTTATTTACAGCAATTCTCTATTCTTTGCTAGGCAGGGAAACAGATGGTGTCAGACTGCTTTGTTGTACTCAAACAATTTCATTGGATGAGAATTAGGTATTGTTTTCTGGAAGTCAAAAGCTATTTTAGTTGCTCAATATTTTAATGGATTCAGCTTCAGCTTGCATCATTTAAGCTACACTGGCAGCTTGTCAAGTTTAGACAACCAGTAATAATATGAGATGGACAGCTTAGTTGAATTTAAGACCCTGTTCATACATAATACTGCAAATTGAGCTAACTTTATTTGTAGTTAACCCATCCAGGTTTCATTATGATTCAGCTGTAATGAATATTGTTTCTAAGACAGTTTTTGTTACTGAGTGACTTGTGTATTGATGAAAAATTCTTTCTGGAAAAATGTTAATCAAATTACAAATAAGCATGTATAGTCAAGTGCTGTTCTGTATAACCAGAGGAGCTTCCAGCTGAATATAAAATGGGCTCTGACTATTTAATGAAGCCATAACCTTACTGGACATGAATATATTGTTTGGACCACATTAGCCTTTTTTATGAATCATTCCAGTGATTCTTAACTCTGTATTATCAAGCTCAAACTTCTCAGCTTGAAATAGCATGGTTAAACCACTCACCTAAACCTCTTGTTCACTATCCTTCTGTAGCTGCATCTCAAGCTGCTAAGAGTTTGTAAACAAATGAGCCCAACTCAACTACCTATGTATTATTGATGAGTAATATAGTTATTACTTTTCTGATAATTCTCATGTTTATCACACTTGTTATATGGGAATTAAGTCTGTATGCTCTAGGAGGCAATGACCACTTGTTTTTGTCTTTTGGCAGTACCTTGCATGCATCTGGGAATGTAACATTAAAGTAAGACTAATATAACAGGAATACGTACCTTTTTTGAGGAAACAGTGCACAACACAGGGGTGTTGCAAACACGAGACTAGATGAGACAAAAAAGAGTTTACAATATTTAGGGTGCTAAAAGAGAACTTAAAACCCTTAGGCGTGGTCTTCTAGGCATAAAGGTTTTATTTTTTTTTTTCTATATAGTGAGGTAAAGTTCCACAAAGTGCTATGTAACCTTTATTTCTCACTGCATTATACTTTATGAAGTCATTTACCTACTATGTAGTACTAAACGCATCAATACTATGCTTACAAATCTGTATGAAATTATCATTTGATGTCCTTCCAGTGTTTTGCATTGGTGTGCATGACAACATAAAATGCTAGACAACAGCAAATGAAACTCTCCATTAACCAACTGTTTCAAGAATTCATCAACCTACAGGACTAGATTCCAATTATTGTTTATGGAGGTAGCAGCCAAAGCATCTTTTCTAATCAAGATGCTACATGCCTTTTTTTGCCACTCCCTTTTTTTCTCCCTCCTTCTATTTTTCCTCATTACTAATGGCTTTTTTTAATATGGTATTATCAGTTATAGATATGGAAGTGAAGTAACTGCTGTAGCCTCATTAACTCTCAACTTTTTTTTTCTTCTTTAAGCAAAGTGCAAATATTGCTACTTCCTCTAAAAAACCCTACAGTTATCTCTTAAAATAGCAGACACAACCCAAAGAAATCACTTACCAGAATCCGACTAATCCAACTTGAATGGGAGCACTCATCCAAGGAAATCTCTGTCAAAACCAAACCATGTACAGTGAGTGTGGTATCTTTTCTCCCCCCCTTCCCACCTTCCTGGAATTCTTATATTCTAAGAGACAGATTGCACCTGAAAGACTCTTGGACACAACAAAGGCAAGACAATTACCAGCATACCTTAAAGCTGAGCTCCAAATTTGAGAGCTCAATCCCTTTCAAAAGTAATAAGAAAGTTCCCAGTGATAGCAATGTACACTGTTATCCTGGGTAAGTGTCCCTTAGAAACTACAATAGGCAGTTGACTGTTTTACTCGTGACCTGATTCTGAGTATGTGGGCGACCCCTTTGGGTCACACAAGCCCACAGTAGCTAGCAACACAGCCAAAGTTTGGAGCAGTGCTGCCACACCTCTTAAGGGCACTGGGAATTTTTCCCAGGCATCCCTAAGAAGAGCTAGGTCTGGTTACAGCTCCTATGTCCTTGGTGACGTCAAACGGTTTTAACTTGCAACTGGAGATTTACTTTGTGAGCAACAGCAGCCACCAGCCATAAATAAGGGATGTGTCAAGGAAAAATGTAAGGCTGCCTGTCTTAGCCTTTTCTCCTGACGTCATTTGCTTTGATGTGTAAGAACTTGCCCTTGTAGCACAGTCAAGTAAGCTCCAGTTCTGCAAGAGTTCACCTTTTATTAAGAGGAAAAAAAAAAGGGTAGAGCAATTGGGGAAACAAAGCTCAGAAAGCAACACATAACCTATGGATGCATTTTTAGCTTATTCCTCATTACTGTAACTTTTGCAGGACTTGAACATATATGATAGTTTTCTTGTAGGCCTTTAAATAATTTAGGAATCCATTCCCCCCCATGTTAGAATTTTAGTTGAAATTAATTATTAATGAATTAAACCCAGACCTGTTGAAATGAAGGCCTGCAATGGCCTTCTGTTGCTACAATAAAATCGGTGTCTCTAGTAAGCAGGACATACACAACTGCTATGATAATGGGAAGCTTTTAAAACAAAACAGCTAATGAGTTAAAAACCACACATTACAGTGAATGATGTTGTCAACAAAGATGAATTTTTTTCTGCAAAAAGCATTTCTCAAGATGTAGAAGTTAGAGGGGAAACTAGTGAAGAAAAGATGGGTGCTATTTCAGAGTAGAAACAGGAAAAAGAAATTTAGAAAGCTTGGTAGGACAAAGCTTGGGTGCTAAGGTCACAGCAGCTTAAGAGGCATGGAAAACAAGCCTGTGTAGATTAAACTTTCTCCAGACCCTGAGGGAGAAGAAATGATGTATGAGATTGCCTCCAGGGAGGTGGTGGGGGGGAGCAATCTGTAATCCAGAAATAAGTGCAGGAAGAACTCTGCAATTCAGCAACAACCTGCAACGATAGACAACAAATGGAAAAAGACAGCAATAGCAAGAAGGATAAAGAGTGAACGCAGCAGTGCTCTGCTGCTCTGGCATTCCACTAAACACCTTCATTTGACTCGCAGCTGAGATAAATTCACTCAAAATGCTTTATATTTTATACATTGCAAGAGTTCATGACAAGAGATGGTGTGACTGACGGTGGAAGGGATGTGGGATTGGTAAATATTACATGTGTTTGGGAGCACAAGTGAAACTCTGTACAGCAAATGACTTCAGTCTCTGAGGAGAATTAAGGGAGAGGGATGCTCCGCATTGCAGTACAAGCATGGGACCTGAGATACATAACAGAAAAGCCCCAAATATGATTTTATAACTGAAAAGATTGTTGGAGGGTGTCACGAGAGTAACAGATGGTTTCATGCCTTTATCAAGAGTTGGTCATTAATCTGAGAGACAGGTGTCTACTAGTACAGACAACAGAAACAACACCTACTTCAGGTGCTGGAACATTTTTTGCCAAGGTACTCGATCCGAGTTCCAGTCTTTATTTTTCAAGAATGTTACCATGCTGCACTAATCAAAAAAGACGGTGAGGTAAAAGTTTTAACTTTGGGAGGTCAATATTAAGAATTGGAGTTCCCCAGGGAACAACATAAAACAATAAAGCAAAACTCAAATGCAGGCTGTACACCCCTACAAAGAGAGAGAATGGAGAAGTACAAGGCAGCAGAAGAATTCACGGTGTTAGAGAACTATCATTTAACCCTGGAAGAAGGCAGTTCCAGATGAATTAGGATTTAATTAACAGAAAAAACAGAGAAATTATAATTAAGCAAACAAAACTACCATTTTCTAACTGCTTCCTTTCATTGTTGGATCTCAAAATCTGTCAGCTTTCCCAGGCTAGCTATGCCTGTTTTCAAAAAAATGAATAAATGAAATGACAGTTAAATTAGGAATGCATGGAGGACTCTAAGGCATAGGACATTCAAGAACGACGCTTAAAAAAAAAAGGCTCTCTGTTCTAGGTTTGTAACAGTTTTGAATACATATTTTAGTTGCAGACTGAGACCCCAAGGAGCTTGTTTTAAGGATATATGAGGAAATTTCTGGAATCAACTAGAATGTTAATACAGTATGCAGAACAGGAGAGAAACGGTAGCTGAAACTGTAAGAGAAGTAATATAAATTAAAACTTCAATGTTTGGAATTTTCAGAAGGTTCTATGGAAAAAACCAATTTCTTTCCTTAGGAGGAATGTCACCTGTAACTAAAATAAATCTATAAACGTTGTGCCTCAGAGCAAGGTTGTTTATGGATCCTCCTGCTGCAGCAGATAAAATAACTTGGCTCTGCACAGAGCTAGTCAAGTGTACGTCAGTAGGAATAATGAACATAGATATTATACTGCCTAATCAAGAACTACTACACTGCATAATTGCACAAAAGGCAGTCAAAGCCACTGCTGAAATCTATAGCAAAAGTGCAAAAATATAAAAAAATATTTTTTCAAGTCAAGAAATAATTAGATTCTTTTTGAAGCAGTAAGTATATGCCTGTGTCCTAAAAACATTCTTGAGTCATTTTCTAGCAATAACTTTTGGAATACTGTTAATTCATACTACTGTTACCATCAAAATGTACCCAGGCAAAACAATGTCAGAACACAGGGGACGAACAGTGCTACATAACCTACATCTTCTTTCAAATATCATGAGGATGATAGCCTGCTATCACTGAGACCAGCATTCCGGAAGCATTTCTTTCTCTCTATCTTACTGCAGAACATCATTCTGTTTTCTTCATTATTTCACAACCATTTGCCTATTTTCTGGCCTTGCGTGTTGCGTAACAGGTTGTGGCAAGCATAGAAGAATTATTTTCAAGAGTGATGGTGTGCAAAGCAAAGGCTAAGAATAACGAGTTAGTAAAGCATTGTGTGGATGGTGTTGGAGTACTGCAAAGGGGATGTTGCTTCTGAAACCTGAAGAGGACATGCAGAAGCTGCGTGTTAAAAATGCAGCTCATTCCTTAATGGTTTTAATACTAATCTCTACCAGGTGTTACCACTGACTACCTGCAAAGCAGTGTTTCACCTGAACTCACAGTCTTTGAGGCTGAGGGGGAGGAACAGGTGAGCATAAACGGTCATGATGGTACCAAAGACCACTGAGTCACTGAAGAAATCGCTCATTTTTGCTGATCTGAAAAATTCACAACACCCTTATATTGATTATATCACACAAAAACAATATATATTTGTCTCCAAACCCTGAGGATTACTGCAACTTCTTCACAAATGTCATGTATTGCCAATTGAGTTGATAGCATTAGTGACATTTCTCCCATGTCAAATACATACAAAATAACATTTTATCTAAATTTATCTTTTTTTTTTTAACAAGGGTTAATGTTCTGTGTAATACATTCTCAAGAACACAAGACTATCACAAGCTGCTTAAAGATACTCTGCAAAGAGGGTATGGGTCAAAAGAAATCAGCAATTAAGAATTAGTCCAATCAGCATAGGGCTCTTTACGCTGCAGACAAACAGTGTACTTGGACGCACTGCAGTCTCACTTCTTTCAGGAGATATAAGCAGTGCACACTGACATTCACTCTAAAAGTCAAATGCCGCATTTCCTGGTTTTACACTCTAAGCAATAGTGTTTTCTATTAACAAGGGGGCAGGGAAGCAAAGCACTTCAGGAAAAGAAAGTTTTTAGAATTGGAAGACACTTGGGATCTCTTCCCAATGCTTCATTTATATATACAGAAGCACTTTCAAGTGGTGTTTGTAATTGGGTAATCTAACTCTGCACAAGAAAGATGAAGGGCAGAAATAATAAGAATTATAATTTAAATATTTTAGAAAGCTTTATCTTAGACAAAAAAAACCCAGGCAACTTCCCTTGCTTGCCCTCTCAGTTGTCACCCAAACTTTTCCAAGGGAGGGTCTGGAGACTCAGACCACACTTTCTTTTCCTAACTTTTTCTAACAGGAAGGAGACAGATTCTCTTAGGCTATTGTCCCTAGCTTGTTGGGTGGGTTTCACAGGCAGAGACTTCACCTGGAGTAAGTAAATCAGTGATATCAGCTGGTGAAGATGAAACTCCCTCTACTGGTAAAGAATTACAGAGCTCCTCATCCGAGTATTATTTCTCTTGTGTTAGACAACCCTATAATTAATTTCATTATTGTTCTTTACCCTCTCATGCACACATAGTGCATAATGTTGATTTAGTTTATATATTTACTAACACCAGGTGTTTGACTTCACACTACATTAGCATAAACAGACTACAGGAAATAATTAATCTTTGATGAACGTGTCCATTCTATGCCTACCCCACACTTGCTCATCCATTAAATTTTAAAGGATCATTTTCAAAAGAGATTTTTACCATCATTATTGTTTCCAAAGTCAAATTGCTACTACAGTAGCTAAGCAAAGCCTCCTTACTACTATCTTGAGAAAAAAGCATTATTAAAATTTTCAATATTTTTATAATAAACTGTATTCCAAGTCTCAGTGCAAGGAAGGTTTATTTACGAGAAGGAACTCTACATTTTAAGAACAATTATAAAAATAACAAAAAAGTTCATATTTTCTTAACGTTATTTTACACGGTGATAAAAAGAACCAAGCTATTTCTGTCTAAGGAAGGCATAAAGAAAGAGACAGCTGTAAAGCAAGCTCTACAGTGATGTCCTCCCAGAGTGTTTGGAAGGCAAATATGAAGACTCAGAAAGTACTTTAAATTCATGAAAATATTAACATGAAATACATATACATAGATTATCTAAGACTAACCTTTAAAAAGGCTCTCTTTTCCAATGTATTCATTATGAAGGGAGGAATAGCTGCAAATGAGGGGGGGGAAAAAAAGCATTAACCTTGCAGAAAAAGGCACTTAGTTTTCACTTTCTGTTAAGATGAACCAATACCATAATACAATTTTCACAGCCTTTTGTCATTAACGAAGCTTTCATTTCACATTGCCAATTCAAGATACTGGTTTGGTATTTACAGAGATAAATTCTTCCAATAAGCAAAAGTTCTTATTTCACAAGTAACTAAACCTGAGCTCAGTAACTTGGCACTGGTCAAAGCACCTACTTTTCACTAAACCAATTCCACTTAAGCGGAATTTGCTACCATTCCTTTGCTATCTGTATCTTTGGTGTAAGAGCATCCCAGGAGCTTTTCTGCTGCACTTCAGAGTAACATGCTGTGGATGTTTCACACTAAGAAATGTGCCTTTCTCTGTGGAACTTCTTAACAGAAACGTAAATACTGCCTGCATCAACCGTAAGATAATTTGGCCTCTGAGAAAATCACTTACATAGAATTTAAGCGCTCTCCCACATTAAAAACTGATAATCAGGAGCTGCATGTGACTGCAGTTATTCTTACCCATGCCAGGCCCAGCCATAAGAATCCTTGATATAACCACCTGGGTAATTGCCTGCTGAGCTGCTTTTGTTGATTCACCCAGTCTGTTTCCGTTCTCATCTGTGACGGGGATTCCAAATTTGAGCTCCCTGTTGAATAAGGGGTAAAAATAAAGCAGTGACTGACATGCATTTATTCAGCTTTTTTTCACCTTATCTTTGTCCCCTTAAAACTGTCATTTCTAAGAATTATGGTTTCTATTTTATTTTCTAAGTTAGCCTGTTCGTAACATTCTTTGGCACAAAAATTTCAAAAGGCAGAGAAAGATCTGGGGAAAAAAGTAAGTAACAGCAATCTGCTGCTTGAGCCTAGTCACGTGTATTCTAAGGGGGAAGAAAGGAGATGTGTTATTTCTGTAGTCCACAGAAGGGAGAGGCTCCTTCAAAAAGCAATTCAGAAAAGTGGAATTTTCTGGGCTGCTCTGGAAGTAGTCTGTCCTTTCTGACAGACAACACATGGAATACAGGAAGATTAGTTTCACTGGACTGAAACAGAAGTCTTGTGAAAATTCCTCTCTGGCATTCTAGTCTGAGTTTTCATTTCAACCACTGAGAACATATTTGAAAGTATAAAAGGATGCACAAAACAAACTACGTTTTGGTAACTGTACTATTCTCTATTAGATCTTTTGTTCAAGTGCAGAGTTAGGTGTTAAACTCACTTACTGGGGAGAGCTTCTAGGGGAGTGAGAAGCAGACAGAAAGGCAGATATGAGGACTGCCTTTATTCTTCTCTTCATCTTTTATAAGAGATAAAATACTACCATTGATTGAATTCCATTGTAAATACAAACTTTAAATACTCCCTTTTCTGCCCATAACCTTGTGTTTATAAAAGGATGCTTTTCATTTGTTTTTCCCCCACTTCTATTCTTAGTCCTAGTCAAATCAGAATACATAAGAAATTTTGTTTCAGAGAAAGTGCGTATTTTTGTAATGTCAGATGATTACACAGAACTGCAGAGCCTGACTTCTATGACTAACTTCTGCATGTGGGATTTGAAGCACCATTTTTGAAATGACTGTGTTTTTCCAAAGTTGAGTTTGTATTAAAGGGTGCACGTGATCAAGTTTTGAAGGACTGGTGCTTGGTTTCTGAGATCTAAGACCAAAGGACTCTATGGATATTCATCTGAAGAGAAGGAGGATGTTCTACTTTATACCTGCCGCAATTGATCAATCAAAACAAGATCATGCATGAGGTTTTTGCAAGGTTCTGAAACAAGCTAAAGATATATAATGTGCTTTATTTAGTAACTTGCTGATCTAAAAACTCAGTAACATCCTTTCTTCTAGAATGAGTGATCTTTGTTCTTTTTCCTACCTTTGTCTCATTAGTGGAATATTAATGCAGTTAGCAGCAGCAACAGCAGCAAAAGGAACAAACCGTCCTATAAGAGGTGAGACATGCTGTAAAACACGGGGGGAGGAGAAAAGAAAAAAAATTGCATCAGCATTTTATTTCCTGAAGGTCATATTAAAATGCTTCGTGTGCTAATGACAGACCAGACTTATTTCCTTCAAATTAAAATTCAATGAAAACTCACTGGTGGGCAGAGGTAAAACAATAAACAAACAAGACATAAATCATAAATACTTCTCCCAGAGTGAGCAGTGGCAGGAGACCGGCAAAAACAATCTTAATTTAGTAGCATCACTGCAGAGAAGTGGCAGCTTGTGAGCATGCCTGTCAGCCCCACAGCAACACTAAATAGACCTTAACTTTACTGTCTCTGCTGGCAAGGTCACAGCCAGCAACATCCATACCAGCTGCTTTGCCTCTAAAGGCACTGACTATGGAGGCTATTCATCTAGTCAATGTCTTGTATAATCTGAATTACTCTGCCTAGAATAGTCTCTCAAATAACCTGTCAATGCTATACCACTCCCAGTACATTAAAGCATAAGCAGAGGGGTGTAAAATAAATTTTTGCTGTTTTGTTTTTTTTAAGAACCTTTTTTTCTTGATTGTATTGTACAATTGTTTAAATGATTTGAGTTTTCTGCATTTAAGAGCAGCACCTCCTTACAAGTTCTTCAAGTCAGTTTAGAGTAAGCATCCACGTTTGCAGAAGTGACACTGCACCTTAAAAACACACCTATACAGTCTACGGGATAATGAGTCCACATTGTGGTAATTACATATCCACTCCAATTAACTTTCAAATACTATTAGGTACTTTGACACATAAAAAAGAAACTGCAAAAAAAGCACCTTATTAGATACAGTTTGCATTAACAAAACACAAGGCTGTTTGATCTATATATAAGGAGGACAGGCTGTTTGAAATACGTATAAAACCATTTACATGAGGCAAAAATAAGGTTGGGATCTAAAGAAGGGAGCTGCCAAAGGCCATTACAACTCCATACTGGGAGCTGTGCACAACATGACACACACGCAGGAGGAGAAATGAGCCATTAGCATCTCATAGAACACCACAGTTTAGTTAAGAATGGAAAAAAAAAATATCAGCAATACCTTTGTTAGTGCATTAAGTCCTAAAGCTGTTGCGACAGCACCAGTGGTAGCAGAAACATAGGCTGTTCCCAGCTGGCTAAAACAAAAATAAAAATGTTTGCACGTGCACAACAACTACATGTATGTCACTTTAAAAAATAGTTACATTTTACACACGTAGTTACACCCCTGTCAAAAGTTAAGAAGTAGACCTTTCTGTGATACTGCAATAAGATGTGGATGGAAGATTCAAATGGGACACTAAATTAAACACTGTTCTTTCACTAGCAGTAAAAATCACGTGCAAGTACCATCTTAACATTGAATCAGGTTCTGCTGGTTCTGCATTGCTATCTCTTCAGCATTTTCTCACATGTCTGAATGAACTCCTTAAAGGATTTAGTTCTGTATTTAATTTCCTAATTGCTTAAACTAATAAAATCAGTTTGGATTTCTAAGGGCATGTCTACAATAGTAATTAAAATCAACTGTACTGAAACCCATACATGCAGACCAGCTATGCTGCAAATACCCACATCGAATCCAATCCACCCTCAAACATACTTTACATACTTCCATCTAGGAGGTGTCTGTATATCCTCAAATCCACTGCTTTCTCCTGGACATCTATAAGCAAGTCAGCCTCAAACGCAGAAAGTCAAGCACTGCAATTCTAGTGACCTATTAATAATTTCTAGCTTTCTACATTTACTTAGTCTCTCTGTCTTCAAGTAGAAACAAGTACCGTGCAGACCAGTTCCTTGAAGGGTCCTCTTTTTGTAAATAAGCACACTGTGGTGTGTGTTATACTGCAGGGCACTGAGAAGATGGCACAGAGACACATCTGAAGATCCACACAAAATATCAAATTAGAAATATCCTGGTATAACACCAAACTGATGAGGCACTTTCAAATGGTTGACTGAGCAATGCAACACAGACTCCTATTAAATCCTATGCTCTTAAGTGCTTATGATCAAGGTGCTTAGGCTTATCTTTAATGGCAGAAATAGAGTTCTTGTCTCCATCATTCTCAGACTTCTGACCTGTGCATACCAAATTACTAATAAGCATAGATGAAAAAAACTTATCCCTCTATCACCTCAAATTTTAAAGCCCAACAATGTTCCAGTACATCAGAGAGCAACTTACAGACACATCAGAAGTATGTGGTTCAGTGTCTCACCTGACAGTAATTGGGGCATCACCGCTCCTGTTCGTGTAATTTACTATAGCATTGAAGGACTGGTTAATCCACTGCCAGAAAACCACGGCTGGTGTCGTTCTTGAAAAGAGAAACAATTATTATTATTATCAAAACCACAGTTGGATCAACAGAACAGAAAAATGATGGCAAATCAAGAAAAGCCAGCACGAGCAGTAATCATGCAGAGGTTCTTGTTTATCTGAATGAAACAATACAGCCAATGAGATACTGTTTCGATAATGAAAGTACTACTACTTCGAAGAACAGAATTTAAAATGATTGTAATTAAAAAGCAAGTTTCACTTGGGACAAAGGTTTGTCATAATAACAACAGCATTACAGCAAACCTCTATAAAAACACACACAGAGACTTGAATTTCTAGAATACTTTTCCAGCGTTATTATTCCTTTACAGTCTGCAAGTTGTCCTTGGAAGTTCCATAAGCGACTGAGGTGGATTTTAGGAGACAGGGTTTATCCTTTCAATCTTCAAAAAGCTAGTACGATGACAGTGTTTTAATAAACCCCCGTGACATTAAAACATTCAGTCACATGTAGAACTGTAACTCCAAAATGAAAAATTATTTTCATGAAAATATCTGCATGTTTAAGAAGTATAGGTACAGCACAGAAACTAATCTGGTTCAGTGCAGCATGAACCAGATGACCAGTCATCAAAACCAAACCAAAACAAAAAAAAAAGAGCTCCAAGGAATCCTCTTAAATTATGTCAGTGCCAATATGCAGATGCCTTAGGACAAAAAGGTGCTAACTTGTGAGCATGGGTGGGGGTCAGTGAAAAAAATATATTTTGTACAAGTTGCAGAGTCCCCATTTAACAAGCTAACGTGGTCCCTGTTAAACTGCAGGTACAATCATTTTATAAATGGTTATGCTGATAAGTAGCAAAAGTGACTGTCAATTTGTTCCACAATGTACGGGCTGTCTTGTGGAAGGATGAATGTTTTTGCTCTCAAACTAGTAGAATGTCTTAACAACGGGACAAACTTATAAAAAAGAAATCCACTAAGGGCCATTAAATAGAACACTACCTCTGGATCAGGAAGTTCCTGATCCACAAATATTTGGAGGCTAGGAGAGTATACCAGGGGAAAAGTGTTTCTTTGTGTACTCAGACCACAAACTCTGTCCCCAGTGGAGACATGACTGACAATTGTGCTCCGCCAGAATTTCAGTCAGGGGAACCAGGCCACCAAAAATAACAGTTGCTGCTGAAAAATATTTCCGGATCATTAAAATAACTTTTTCATAGGACTCTAAAGCTTATACTTAATTAAATCATTTAATAACACAGGCAGTAACAGTAACAGGAATGTGGCTCTCATTGGAGGGCTGATACAGAAATTAAGGGTGCTAAAGAAGCAGCAGTAGTTGTACCAATCACTCTGTAACAGGCGGGAAAGCAAAGATGAGATGCGAGAGTAGAAGGTGTTTGCCTATCACGAGGCTTTGGTTCTGAAATGGGAAGAGACATCATTTCTTTAAATTGTGAAAAATTGAAAGATTCAGGAGATTTGAAAGTGTATTCTTATTCCCTCTGGTTTCCAGTATCTGAATGAGATTCCAAAGTAACAATGATAAACTAGCTGGATGTTTTCCATCACTACTGCTGTTCTTTCTCCTTTCTTCCCGTACATGTGCAATTCTTTTCCTGACTCATCTTTTCCTGTTACCCTGCTACTGGTGTGTAGAAGATGTTAGGCCTGCTATAAAGTTTAAGCGTGACTCACATTGCCTTACTGCACGCCCAAGAGCCCTCATGGGTGTAACAAGGAATTTGCTTCTTCCAGTGGCCAGCAGTAACCAGAACACAGTGATATGCAGTAAAATGGAGGCTACAGCTTACCATCCAAGGACTTCTACACAATCCTGTTTGCACTGCAGAGGGTTTGGTCCAAGGAAACCAATGTCTTCAGACTAATAAATCATGTAGTTTTGAATCTGAGTGACTACCAATAATGCAAAGAAAAGATACACAGCTGCCATATGTATTACAGATAATAACAGAACGTGGATAAAAGAATAAGCAGTTAACAGGAAGCAGTGCTTGTGAACAGGCAGCTGTACTGATGGTTTTATTCATATTCTTGACTTTTTTAAAACACAAAGGTATATATGCACCATTCAAAATAGCCGTGCCTCTCTGGAGTGCGAGTCAAGAATGTGTAAAATCTCAGCATCAAAACCGCTATTGTTATTTCCTCTGAATCTCCCACCAGTTCTTGCTAACAAAGCATTGTGTCACAAAAATATTTCCAACATACTGGCTTCTGCTGTGGGTTTCACTGTACTGGTGATTCAAGAACTACTGAGGAAATGGAAGGATCAAACAGGAGCTGGAGAAACTCGATGACTGATGGACCGAAGCATGTTGAGTACTCACTTGGTAGACAGAACATCATACATGCCAGATCTCTACAGTTAGAAATTCCCAGGTATCCCCTCCTCTTTGTCCTCCACACAACTCCCCTAAAGGGATGGGATTTTTGAACATTCAACTTTCCCAGCTTGAAGAAAAGTGGGATGGTGAAGGAGAAGGGCTAAAGGCTTATCTCACAACAACTTCTAGGGGAAACCACTAATCAGTGTGAGGGAATGCAGAAAGAGAAGAGAAAAGGAAGCAAAATTTTACATTTTAAAATATTTATTATAAATCTTCTAAAATGCTCTTTTGATAATAACATTGATTTTCACTTATCTAATTTGTAGGTAAATGTTTTACGTGTTATATTGTCATCACTTACCTATAAAAGGTCATCATACAACCTGTGATAGTCATGTTCATGGGCACCTGAGCTGACATACGGCCAATCAAGACCATCTTTTCACCAGTGTCTGGGTGAAAGGCTGAATCGTAGATATATTTTGCTCTCCACAAGTCATCTTCCGTCAAGCCAGGTGCCACGATACCTTGTCTTGGGACAAGTTAAAAAACAAAACAAGACAACAGCAAAAAGCACAACTGTTATAAAATGCTGTAACCTTCAGTGACAAATGTGGCATCAGAGGATTTTAGGATGTTCACACTAAGTTAATCTAGCCTCACAGTTAGCTTGTAGATCTTCAGCTTTTAAATGGACTGCTGAAATAAAAAGGATCAAAACTCCCAGCAGTGGTTATGTTGGCTGAGTTGATATATCCAGCACCAACTTTGTATTTACTCAAACCTGTACTAGATTTTAGAGCTAAAATGTAGAGCTAAAATCTCTGGAGTCATTAGCGTGAAACTTTGAAAATTTACTTTGCAAGTATTTAAGAAACTACTTACTCCAAACAATATAACACATAAGAGGAAGTTTTAAACTCTGTTGTTCTATTAACTATTTTTGGAATTAGATACTTCTGTATTTTAGAATACTTAATAAGGGTCTTCAGACGACAAAATTTCCCCATTCCTTAGCAAATTTGTTTAAAAAAAAAAGAAAAGTGTTTCAAGCTCTGAAATAAGAAGAAAGAGTGGTGTAATGAATACAGTGTTTTAAATATTTCCTTTGAAATATATAACCATGTACTTATCATTGACATGGACTTTTTTGGGCTTGCAGTAAAAGTGATCAATGCCATACCTGTAATCATGCACAATTTTTCTTGCATTTTCCAGTTGGGCATCAGATAACAAAATATTCCGGGGGTCTGTTACAGTAAAGAAGTGACTGGCTCGTCCAACAAAAGTGCTTTGATCCCATCGGGGCTCCTTGATATTAATATTTAATGGTATATCTGCTGACATCTTCAAAAACTCTGTGAAGAAAATTGAAAATTTGCATTTCAGAATTCAACTTATTTCATTACATTATAATGTATCTATAACCTGCAAGATGAAAAGTGGTTATGCTCAGACTAAAAAACCAGAGAACAAACACAAAACAACTTGCAGAACTGAGGTTTAAAGGGGCAAGTATACATCCAGAAAGCAGATGATGTCAGATATCATTGTGGGTTTTAATGAGGGTGGTACTGATAGAAGTAAACAAGCAAGAACTTAGTTAAATGTCTACAGAAATGTTTCCATGACATTTACAGACATTTACACATTACATCTTTGTAAGAGTACGAGTTCTGATTATGAGGTAGAAGTACATCATATACATGTACAAATATCTGAGGATGCGGCAGATGCAAATAGAAATTTAGTACAGAAATTTGTTAATAAATAGCTGTACTAAATAACAATATATTAAGCAGAAGTGTGCTTTATTTCAATGATGAATTAGTGTCTGCTGAAAATATTGTCTTGAAGGGAAGGAGAAATTAAATATTTCAAGAGATGCCTGAAGAGATGCTATAAAGTGCAGTGACAGAAGAAATATTTAATAAAATCCAGTTAACTTCTTTGGCATAGCAAAATAAAACAAAAATTAGGAACACAAACCAAATAATTTCAATTAATAAATGTTGTTTCTCTAAATCCACATTTTAACAAAACCAAGATTATATAATGCAACAATTTGCCACATTATGAACACATGACCAGACCTCCTAATGATACTTCAAAGATGGCTAAAGAACTACAATGCAGGGCACTGAACTAACTTAGTTGTGCATTTATGCACAAACCCAGGAAATTAAAAATTACTTCAGGATGACTAAGTTTACTTCAACATCTAATGAAAGAAGGGCAGTTCCTGGACAGCGCAAGCTATGTGAATGTGAACTTTAACTTTCTTAAGTGAAATTTCTGCAGCATATTCAATAGCCAGTTTAAAAAAAAAATAAACAAAAAAACCCCATCCTCCAAATAATGCTTGTAATTCAAAAGCCTGAAGTAAATCGGATCTATAAAAATAGGGATGATATCACACAGCATTTCATCTGTTTTAATAGGAAAAACACCATCATTTTGAGGACAATGGCTACATCTGGTGTAAGCTGCTACTGAAGAGTATTTCCATCTTAACTCAAGAACACCATGAAGTCCTCTGAGACATTCTGGTCAATTGCTTGAAACTTACATGATGTAGAACAGGAAAAAAAAATCACAAAAAGAAAGTAATGATCATATAAAGTGTCTCTATCATAAAAAATATGAACTTCATGGGAGAAGAGGAGAGACCATCCACGAAATCTGAAGAAGCTATTGTCCCATCTCTCCAATGTAATTATGATCCTTCTCCTCTACTTCAACTGGAAAAATTTGGAAGTCTTTGGAAAAGTAAACTTCTACAGACATAAAGGCTTAAACCTCCCCATTTACCATAACCAGCCCTAAACTGCCACCTTTAAGCAACAGAAAGGAGGAGGAAACTAATAAATGTTTAGAAGACACTATAGAGCAACAATTCTAGCACCACCCCCCCTCCAAAAAGTCTATTCTTGACAGTGAGCTAAATCAGCTCATAGTTGTACAAGGAGGAGATTATACATCTTTGCAACACCTCTCACAGAAACCATGAACTCAACTTTTTAGGCAGTTGAGGACTGTGTAAAAATTATTCTGCCTTGAACCACTTATCAGTCAGAATTGCTCTTAGAGTGGGAATTATTCAGGGAAAAAACTGTCTTCCCTGCATTTACCCAGACTTAGCATTTTTATGCTTATGTAATAGCACAAGCATGACTCTTATTTAGGACTTCTGTGGTTATTACTGCGATTTAAAGATAAAGAAAACCTAGTGGCCACATACTATTTTATAGTGTACCATACAAACATTACGGGAACTATTTGATTTTCTGATATATCATCTGCCAGGAAGAACCGCCGATGACATTCAAATTGCTCAAATTCTTCCCAATGTTACATGTGCTCATGAAATCAACAGAAACTGTATGCATAAGCATGATGGCACTGAGCACCAGATTAATGTAGAGCTGTGAAGATAAGGTTGCAAAACCGCAGAATAACTGCATTATACATGAAGATAAGCAATGTTTAAAGAGGATTTGGCAAGTACATTCTACTCAGCACTGCCAAATATTTCAGGCAAAGTCCCACATGTGGTAACGAAGAAAGCAAAGTTACCTAGTGCTAGTATATGAAACTTTGAGAATCCAGAATGGATTAAATAAATAATAATGGAGGGTTGTCCTTCAAAATCACAGCATGATTAAGAGCTGAATGATGAAAATGTCATATCTCAGCTAGTATTACTAAATAAGTTTGTTAAAAATTTATTAGAAAATCCTGATTTGGTGCCACTCAATAAAAACACACTTCCTTTCGTCCATTTACTGGTAATTAAAATTTCTTTAAATTAAATAATCCGTTTCTATTAAAAACCCAAGGAGTTTGTTTTCATCAAGTGAAAAAATAAAACAAAGCATTCAGGATGTTTATGTATTATTTTTATGTTTAGCTTATATTATTTATGACAGAATAGGGAAAACCAAAAGCATTAGATAAGAAAGATCTCTGCTTTCCACCAGACTCAAGCTCTTCCTTGAACAAATAATCTCCAATTCTATAGAACAGATCTTACTATTGAATTTTACACAAGCTAAATCAATTTGGTTAAAAATCACACAAAAATTATAACCACACAGATATTTCTGTGTCCTGCTCTCTAAATCTTCCTGACATCAGGAGAAACTCAGAGCTGTACTGGCAAAGCAGAGCTGTTTGTCTTTGCAGTGTGGACAGCAATTGTGTAAAAACAAGCTGTATTTCTATAGATACTGCTGAATTCTGGAACATCATGAACTGACAGCACAGGCTGCAGGTAGGACACCAGTAGGATTGCTTTTGCTTTTTCCTGATAAACTGCATTAAGAGCTTAAATGCTCAATTAATCCCTTCCAGACAAGTTTAATATTCCCAGTTTCCACTCCAAGTCATCACGTGCAAGGTTGTTTCAAAGACTCCCAAATCAGTATAAGCTCTCACAGCTTTCATTGCAGTACTAAACCCCCACCCAC